AGATGAGCAATTCTGATTATAGTGATGGAATAAAAAAAAAAGTGTACAGACTGCTTGACTCATTGAAAGGAAGTAAGAAATGTAAAAATAAACAACATATGTATATATAGAATGAATTATTTTTTATTGATCAATGTTTACTATTATTGACTTTTCTCGTTTCTGTGTTTTAATCGAATCGTTTATGTACTCGTATTTTTCGTGGCGTTAAAAATAAATTTAACCACGCCGCACATTTACATGTATCTACGTATTTTTCGAGGGGTTAATAAAGAAATATTTAATCACGCTAAACATTTATACACTACGCAACTATTTTCCTTACTCACATCGTATGTTTTTTTGTGACGTTAAAAAAATACTCAACCATGTCATAAATATATACTCCATGTCAATATTTCATTCTTGTTTACTTCTTTTGTGCAATAAACTCCATTAGTTTTCAAAATGACGTGTATTTATTAACGTGTGTGTGTGCGCGTGTGTGAGCGCCTCTACGATACATTCTGAAAATCTTTCGTGACGTCCACGCTCGTCCAATTAAAAAAATAATTAAAACATCCAATTAAAAAAATAATAAAAAAAAAAATTGATGGTAATTTATGCAAATGTATTCACGATGACCTCGACACGACCTCGTATTCACATCAATTTTATGTATGCAAATGTATTCACAATATCTCATTGTGACGTCATCCTCATGTAAATTAACCTCTTTACGGCCATGGACGCTCATTTATGCTAATTTATGCACGAATTCCCATTGTGACGTCATTATTTATGCTCATCTATGCACGGGCACCCATTGTGAAGTCATCCATCCCGTATGACGTCATCGCATCCCAATATGAACAGCGCCCTCATGGTCGTACCTATAATGTAACTTAAACAACTCAAATAATATTCTATTTTGCAGTGGAGCGTGCACTTGGTGATTGTGGTGGATACTTCACAGCTGATGCTGGTATTATAGGTTCACCTAACTGGCCATACAGTTATAGCAATAATCTCGACTGCTATTATCACATCACAGTGTCCAGTGGCAATGTTCAGGTAAAACAAACATCCGTTTGTATTCGATATGTGTCTGCGCGTTTGAATTTTATCAATCGTTGTCCATTAGATGTTTTTCTAGTCGCACAGTTGGATCGTAATTAACGGCTATTTATAACAGATATTTCTAGTTACAGACTGGAATCGTTTAGTGGCGGAAAAGACAATACAACTTTTACCAAACATTAGTGATGTTGTCGCCCCATGTGAATATATAACAGGAATGTAAATTTGTATAGCTCTTTACTCAACCACTGATAATACATGGAAATATTGTAAACATTTAGATTACTTAGCGAACTAGTCAATCCATAACAACTTGAAGGTTGCTGCGGTATTTTAAAAATGAACAAGAAAGCAAAAACACAGCAGTGCATTCTGGGTTACTAAACGCTTATGTATGAATAGTTTTCAAAGTTGTTTGAACCAGCCTTTTTTGAGATCAAGATTGTTGGCAGAATTGGAATAAAGATATACACTGCAGTGGTGATAGAAAACAGTTTATTGCCTTTGTAGAACGTTGTTTCAACTAATAAGATAAAAAGCATCGACATAATAGATTCATTGACTTTGTATACTTCTCTTTCATTAGATAACGTTCACAACATTCGCTACTGAATCTAGTTATGACTACTTGTATGTATATGATGGTTTGTCTACCTACGACCCACTTATTGGTTCTTTTACTGGGTCAACATTACCATTACCGATATCATCCGCTGGATCAGATCTCTTACTCCATTTCCACTCTGATGGCTCTAGTGTGAACACTGGGTTTTACGCTACATATATTTCAACTGACGATCAATGGTCTTACATATCGTCCTGTGGTGGATATTTGACCTCCGACTCTGGTGCGTTTACGTCACCCAACTATCCTGGCTCATACGATGATTATGCTGAATGTTATTATTACATCTCTGTTTCACCGGGATATACAGTGCAGGTGAGTTAAAGGAAAACCTCCGGTTAAGCGTAATATCATAGAACATGTTTTATTGAAATTACACTGAGAAATAAAAGACATATTAATAGTGCAAACAACATGAACAATGGCGTTCCATTATATCCGCTGATGTGCTGGGATAGGCAGCCAAACGAATATATTGTGCAAACACAGAACTACGCAAGAATTATTTATAGCATAACCATTATGTTTTAACTTTGTCAAGATGATGACGTGTGTGTGTCGAGTTTATGAAAGGCAGCACTCAAAACAAAAATATAGCTCCTATCGAGAACACACATTTCTATTATCACGCACCTAGTTTTTAAAGAGTTCTCGTTGATCTTCACAACACTTGCATAATATTTCCATGGCCAAAAATTTCTCCGTTATTTTCAGCGTTACATCATCTAAATTTTTATATTTTTTCAGTTAACTTTCATCGCATTTGATACAGAGTCATGTTGTGATCAGGTTTATGTTTACGATGGCAGTACGACATCATCAACACTTCTTGGACAATATTCGGGGACAAACTTACCAAATATTCTGTTATCCAGCGGCCCCGACATGCTGGTGCATTTTCATTCTGACGGCTTTGTCACTAGTAGTGGATTCTATGCGTCATATACCATTGGGTCGGGATTGGACATATCGGGTAAGCTATCCATATTTCACAATTCCAATAAGATGTGATTTTCTTCATTGTAACATAAAACATTATCCAGACGTATTCTACAAGAACAGACTTTTCAGATCATGATAAATCATATTCCTATGTAGTCGGCAATATACAGTATTAACAAATATTAACAATTACATTTTCTCGTTAATATTAAAAACTCAATATTCAACTTTATTTATTTAGTTTTGCGCTTTATCTATACTTATATATACAAACCCGCCAGAAAGTATTTACGCACCACACTATAGGCAGCTACTACCTACGATATCATACAATAAAATATACTCAATAACGGTTTGAATAAATA